CCTCCCTCTCCCCCCCACCACAATGTGTTGGGTATTTTCGAGATAGGGTTTTATGAACTATTTGCCCAGGCAGGCCATTACCACAATTCACCTGATCTCTACCTCCTGAGAAGATGGGATTATAGGTGTGATCCACCAGCACCCTGCTTCATTCCCAGTTTTTACATAAAAAGATTCAAGTTCAGAGAGCTTAACATAACCAATGTCACTCAACCAATAACTGTTGAGCTAAGATTGGAATCTAAGTAGACCTGGCCCATGCTTTTCCTTCAACACTGTGCTGCCCCCACAATGGAAGCTAAGGACACTAAGTTTAGCCAGTGGGGTCCAACCTGTTCCAGAATTCTCCTTCTCTTAAGTAATTAGTATTCATGAGTATTGGCCAGGCATGAAGTAAGGACGTACCAAACAGAAGAGAAATCATGCATATTCAAGTTTATTACTTGTCCTGCCGATTTTGCAGGCTTGCAGAATGCAAGAGCTATGTGCTCATGAAAGCTTCCACTGAGATTTCAAAGAAAACCGTAGCAGGCCAGGCACAGGGTCAGAGCTCCTACAGAAATTCTCCACTAGGAGAATTCCTAGTGGACCTACAGGAGTGGAGCTGTGGAAGTGGCACCTCAGTGGGACCCCCAGAAAGGAAGAGCCATCAGCGACATGCCACAGCAGTCTTTCACAGGCACCAGCTGCAGAGCAGCCACACTGCCTGGCATCTTGCAGAGCCAGGGTGGCATTGTTGCTACTTGAGGCCTTGGCAACCCAACCCCAACCCTTTACTGTGTACAAGATGCCAGACATGGGGCTTTAAGATTTAATATCTGCTCTGCTGGGTTTTAGACTTAGTCTGGGTGAGTTACTCCTTTTTATTTGCGTATTGGTCCATTTTGTAATGGGAAGGTATACTCTGAGCCTGTTGCTTCACTGAAAATTAGAAGTGGATAACTTCTAATGATAGGTATACCACCCACTCTGTGTACTTGGCTAGCAGAAGTGAAAAGCTAGAACTTGGTCCTGTATCTACAGTAATTGATGTGAGTGAGTCATACCCAGGGAGATGGTAGTGCTTAATGTGGGAATTGGTGTTTCTGGAAAACTAGGAGAAGTGTGCTAGTAATACTATAAAAATAGTTTTTAAACACCATTTTGCCTTCTCAAACACTTCTTGAGGAGAGAAGAGATAGGGTTTTTTTAATCCCCCAGGGACAACAATGAATTTCCCAAGCAAAGAATAGCGTTGGAAATCTCAACTTCTCCCTTCCTCCTCTCCACTGTCCTTAAGGATTGTAGGAAACTACTCTGGAAGAGATTCTGGCTCTGAACAATGTGAAATGAGCCATTGCTGATGGCAGAAAAGGAAGCCCATAATCCACCCTGGACACCATCACTGTAGAATAGGCTCAAACTCCTTTCCAAAATAAAGCACTAGGAAAATGATCTTGAAAGGAAGAAGCTGACAGTTGGGTTGCCCAGGTCATGTTTAAAAAAAAAAAAAAAAAAGAGACCAAGTGCCAATGGCTCACTCCTGTAATCCTAGCTACTCAGGAGGCAGAGATCTGGAGAATCACAGCTTGAAGCTGGCCTAGGCAAAAAGTTCTGTGAGACCCTATCTTGAAAAAACCCTTCACAAAAAAAGGGCTGGTGGAGTGGCTCAAGAAAGGTGTAGGTCCTGAGTTCACAAAGTACCACAAAGACTTTCAGAGACATTGGGTAAATTCTTCTGTTTCTAGTTTATTCAACAGAAAAGAGATTAAGCTATCGTGGGGCCTGCTTTGCCCCATTAATTGGACAGCTTCTGCCACTGAAAAAAAAAAAAAAAAAGACAAGGGCTTTTCCCAGGATCTGCCACAGCAGAGTCTTCTGCGTTTTTTGTTTTTAGAGACAGAGGACTTGTTGGAAGGGTCATTGCGTTGGCAGAGGACTGGTTGCCATCTTTGGGAAAAATAAAGTGGTTTTCAAAAGCGTGAGTGGTGCAACTTAGCAGCAGGATGATAGGGCTAGAGTCCAGAATCCTGCTTCCATCTGAAGACAATTGTAGCCACTCTTTGGGAGAGAGGAGTCAGTCTTCCCCCTCAAAAGTCAAATTCTCCCTTTGTAGAGTCATATTCTGCTCATCAGGGGTGACTGACATCTTTCTGGAGGGGACAGTGACCTTTTGGAGAGTCATAGTCTTCCTTCTAGGAGCCACTATCATCTTCCTGCTGGTCTTCTGAAGATGCACAATGGCAACAGTCATCCCTCTAGAGGTCACAGGCTGAGGACTCACAGTGGTTACGCTCTTCTTCACAGGGGTCTCTGTCTGAATATGCACAGGGGCCACCACTGTGCCTGCAGTGGTCACAGACAGATGGTCCACTGAGGTGATATGTTTTGCCCCAGGAGCCTTAGTTACAGGATGCTTTCCAAGGGATGATGTTTCCTTTCCAGGGGTCAGGATGCCACCACTAGGGACTGCAGTCACATTTTCATACTTTCCCTGGACCTCAGTGGCCATAGCCTCTCCTCCTGGGGGTAAAATCTTAACATCAGTGGTCAGTGCCTTTGTCACAGTCAGCTTTCCAGAGCCAGGTATTGAAGAATTCATAGCACATGAGAACCAAAATTGTGGTAAAGGAGTTGAGCTGAACTCTAGAAAAAAATCATCAGAAAAAAAATGAGATTCCTACTTCTTCCTCCATTTCTTATACTAGAACCACTCTAAAGAAGAAATACCTGCTCCAAAAATACAGAACATGAGGATTTCAGAATTTACCCACTTGAAGGCACAGACAAAAAGTCCACATAGAAGCCCGGCTCCCCACCCCACCATGACAACATAGTTGATTTGCTACAAATTTCAGGTTGCCCCAGGAAGGAGCTTATTAATTTCTTATGCCTAAATCCTCACTTTGACTTTTCTGACTTCACCACCAGCCAGACATTTCCCCAAAACCTGATCCCTTACTTGTTGAAGCCTCAAGAAGAAGCCTCCCATGTCTCCAGATTGTAGGAGGCACCAGGAACAAAGCTTAAGGCAAGGAGGTTCTAGACAACATGGTGCAAGTGGTTAGGGGGAGCCCAACCTGGCTGAGCTCCAGTCTTGTCCATAAAATGAGGGTCAAAATAATATCTAGTGATGTTTTCAGCTCTTGCAAGCTAGGTTCCATATCCTAACTGTTGAAGCATCCTCTAATTTCAAAAGGAGTTAATCATCCAAACAAACCAGATTCCCTTTTCTAACCCTTGTCCATGAAAGCAGAAGAAACAGAAGTTCACTAATGTATATGGAGTGCTAACTATGAGCTAGTGCGGTTTTTATTCCATATCTCATTTACTTCTTATAATAATCCTTACCTCGTGAGTGTAAGGATTAGTCCCATTTCCAGATAGGGCAAAGGAAGCTAAAAGAGGTCAAATAAGGAGCCAGGTGTGATAGCACATGACGATAATCCCAGCTCCCCAGAAGGCAGAGGCAAGGAAGATCACAAATTCCAGACCAGCCCAGGCAAAGTTAGTAAGACCCCATCTCAAAAACAAAATACAGAAGGGCTGGGTACGTGGCTCAAATGATACAGTGCTGGCCTCCTGTTGGAGGCCCTGAGTTCAATCTCTAATACTAGAGAGGGAGAAAAAGGCAAGATATTTCAACCAAGATTAGAGAACATATGAGCTGGTATCAAAATTTATCTCTTCCCTCAATGTCACATTGCCTCATCGAAGAATTTAGACCAAGCAGAATGGACCCACCTAATGCCTAGTTAGGCAAATTCCAACCCTAGCTTCCGGATCATAGCTACTTACCAGCCTGCACCAGGAGGTCATTCAATGTGTAGACAAGGGGAAAAGGGCCAGCACCACAGAAAGTGCCCTTGACATCATCCATGTCCAATGTCCACAACATGGCACCCCCAAAATTCTCTTTCTTTATGAACATTGCCTGTGAAAGTAACCATCAACACACTGTACTGGAGAGTCTCCAGACTGGGTGCGGTAGCAAAAAACAGAAGATGAACTCCAGGAAGCGATACGGAAGGGTGGCTAAGGGTATAACCAGCATTTGACTCTAGCCTCTACTGCTTATTAGTTACAGGATCTTGGAAATTTTATATAATCTTGTGTGCTTTGTTTGCCTCATTTGCTTAAAAAAAGAAGTAATAACATTTCCAACATTTTTAGGATCAAAATAGTTCCTACACACTAAAACATGGATGAAATTTTAAAAGCATTATGCAGAGTGAAATAACCAGACAAAACAAATGGCAAATACTAGATGATTCCACACCACATATGTGAGGTACTTAGGGAAGTCAACTCCACAGAGACAGAAAGTGTAATGGTGGCTGCATTCCACCACAAGAGACGGAAATGGGGAGGTAGTGTTTAATGGGTACAGAGTTTCAGTTTGGGAAGATGAAAAGTTGTAAAGATGGTGACAGATACACAAAATATGAATGCATTTAATGACACTGAATTACGAACTTAAAATGGTTAAGATGGTAACGCTTATGTTTTTAGGCACATAGCTCAGGCTCAGTAAATGTTAGTCAATATCTTTTTGGGTTCCCCAGCCTGCTAATCGCCATCACCACCATATCGAGCTATAAATGTGGATTTATTACTTAAAAATCATTTCCATACACCTTATGTCACAGTGATGCTAAAAGGTACAGATAGAGCAGATAACATTGTAGCCTTTGCACAGATGAGAAGATGTTTACACCTCATCCATAACTAAATAACAGGGTTTATACTCAAATCCTGTTGTAACTTCACCAGTGCTCTTTGTGAAAGTGATAGAAAAAACATACTCCATCATATTCAAACAGCTGTGTGACTTAGCCAAGTCATTTTGCTCCTTTGTGGAGTTTATTTTCCCCAAATGTAAAATAAGGAGAAGGAGGAAAACAATTACTGTTTAATCTGAAACTGCAATAGTTTTGAGAGCTTGTCCTCCTTACAGGCTAACAAGTTGGCCTGTCGGTTTTATGTACATACACGTACACACACACACACACTAGACTGCTGCATCATACTGTTTATTATTCATAGCAAAAAGAGCAGTCAGAATAGCACTTTGGAAGGACCACTGCTCACCTGCATATGCAATGGGGTTTGCACCACAGAAGAATTTCTGAGCCTTCCTTCTAGAGTCAGAGAGAGAGAGAGAGAGAGATGGGGGTGGGGAGAGAAAGGGAACACTCTCACTGGAATGTGCATTCTATTTACATGTAAACACCTTGGGAGCGGGACTTTTATAACCCTTGAATGTAAGCAAATGGCTCTGAGAGAAAGGGGAAAGGTACCTCTCCATTTTTAGCATAGATTGTCTGCTTCCTTTGCTCAGAATAACCTCACCATGCAGGAGCACTAAGACACCCAGGGATAATTAGGTCCCAACAATGACCTCCAAGGTTCCTTTCAGCTCTGATACTCTTTTAATCATCCCCACCCTGGGCTCACCTTCTCCAGCTAGTACTGCAAGGTGCAATACTGCTAGTTCCAAGGCCTCCCTGCAACACATGGGGCCAATCCCCTTTTTGATAGCCTTGGATCATATAGTTAACTCCATATTTCCATTGAGTCATCAATCTTTTCTGTCTTCTATTCCTAAACTACGGATTTGGGTCCTAGGGGCTGGAAGCAATGCTTTCTACCTCTTTCTCCTCCCCAGCAGGCCCCAGCTGGAGTTATGTACAGAGGAGGACATGGTGAAACTTCATGAGTGCCTCTCTAGCTCTTGTGTTTTCCACCCTAAACTGCTCTCCCAAAGAATAGCCAACACCTGCCACTTCTGCCTCACCTACAGAAGAACTGTGGACCCTCTCTTTAAGCCCCAATATCTAGACAGTTTCCAAATACTGACAACATCTCATCTCAATCTGCCTCTCCTTCCAACCACCTGGTCCAGACTCTCACAACATGACTCTTAAAACTCCCCAAATAACAAACTGTTACAGCAAGATCACACGTGAAGGCATAATAAAAATAGTTCCTGACTCTAAGGCCTACTGAATGTTCAGGGATAGAACCAAGAATCTCTGCTTTATCAAGTCTCCCAGATGGACAAATCAAAGCAGAGGCAGAGGCTGGGCATGGTAGTTCATGTCTGTAATCTCAGCATTTGGGAGGCCGAGGCAGGAGGATCATGAGTTTGAGGGCTACATAGTGAGCCCCCAGGCCAGTATGGGCTACATAGCAAGACCCTGTCACATAAGTAACAACAACAAAAGCATAGGCAGTTTCAGGAACCACTGGAGCATGAAGTTTCTGCCTCAATTCACTATAAAACCCTGTCAGATGCAACTTTGTAAGACACCACTGATATGGGGGCTAGAGTAGTCAGTAATGTTCTAAAGGTCTCAAACTTGCAAATTATTGTCCTGCTCAGAAAGTACCCCTTAAAATGTCTTAATGATGAAAACCAAACTCCTTCACCAGCATTTAAGTCCTTCCATAAAAAAACCTCTGCTCCACTCACATTCTTCTTTGAACCCGTGACAAGCTTTCTACTCCACTGAGCCTTTCCCCTTTTCATCATCTTCTGCTCACCTCCCTGACTTCCACATCCCTTCCACATATCAGAACTATTCATGGAGCTCTTAGTATGATCTCCTTTGCATTGGCATTTATCTGTTACGAAGTTACCTTGTGCAAACAGAAAAGATTATCACCAAAAAGCCGTGTGAAGTGAGAGGAATATTTATTCCTTCAGAATTGAGTTTCTTTCTCTTCAATATTAAAGGATTGGGCTATATGGGGTTATGAAGTGCACACGTGTGTACACATACACATATTGTACAGAAGAGGGCCCCATAGAAGCCAGTGAGAGCAAGAAAGAGCCAGGGTCTCACCTTGTAACTGAAGCTGATGGTGTCATCATAACCAACCCATTCCTTCCCCTTATAGGCATATGGGACGAACTGATAATTAATCCAATGCTTTCTTGCTTTTTGGACAAAAGAGCAAACCTGCCAGAAGATCCAGTGGTGAGTTCCATAAAGTTCCATGACAAGAAACACCAGGAGACACAGCTGCTCCTTGTCTCAGAGAATCCAAGAAGCCTTTATCAGGGCATAAGAAGAAGGTAGATCAAAGAGGGAGTGGGAAGGTTGCTCTCCATCCTGAAAAAGTTCCTTCTAGTACACAGTCCTCCCTCCACTGTCCATGGTGGGAAAGGAGAGAAGAGGGGGAGCGTGTGAAATACAGAAGAAATCAAACAAAGGGCTCTGTAGATATTTCCTGCACCAAAGTACTTAGAGGAATGCACCTGACCTGAGACCAAATCTGCATTTTTTCCAAAGTTTTCATAAATGAGTCTCTCTTTTGTTCATTAAATCTCAAAACAAACTGCTCCAGAAAGGTAGTTATCGAAATAGCACTTGAACTTCTAGTAGATTTAAAGATTGTGCAACAGGAAATCAATGCAAGTCAACTCCCTATATAGCTATCCTTATCTCAACTAGCAAAAACCCTTGTTCCTTCCTATTATTGCTTATACTCTCTCTTCAACAAAA